AGGCTTGTTAAAATCCCAAAATGGAATCAAGTTAAGACGCTTGAAAACTTTTACCAAGCCACTTTGGTAACAGCTAGGTTTTAGCTGTAAAACCTATCATTTACCAGACTTCGGGCTTTTATAATAACATATTATAAGTGTAAAATATTTAATGTTACTTGATAAATTTTACAAAGCTGATTTAATTTTCAAAATTGTTTTATAATTATATTTAATGATAGTGCATCTTACTTATGAATCTCTTTATTCTTAGGATGGTATTACAAAAGTGAAGTTCTGGCATAAATAATATATTAAATTAAATTTGATTAGTTACCATTTACTGATAGGTCCTGAATTTTTTTCATTAATGGTCCTTAAAAGTACTTAATTTCCATGTGCAGAAATGTGTATGAACCCTGATGAATGTAAAACTGCTTATGTGTAGCACATGATCATGTTTTGGAATTCATTAAAAGGCTGCATTTGAAATAAGTTTCTAGATTCTTGAGTTCTCCATCTGTGTTAAGACGTTACAAGTGCAAAAATTACTGCATAGCAATGCTTTGATCAGTCTGAATTTACTATAATCAGTTTGAAAATTTCAAAATAAACCAATTTTTAATTGAGCAAAATACAGGCAAGTTCTGAAAAATTGATCGCAATTTTTTTTTAATAAATTGTTGTTTTTCCATTGTATAGTCAAGTCGCTTTTGGGCAGTTTTACTTTTTGTATGGCTTTTGAAGTTGTGCAATATGTTTCATATTTAGTGCTAAGGCCATTCATTCTTGTGCTCTAACTGCTATAGTCACTGAAGGAGGTGCAGAGATCCTTGAGGAGCCATGATTCATGTTGATTGTTATCTTAAATTAGCAGCAACATAAATGAAAGAGCTCACGTTCTGAGATTGAAGTGCATGAAAAATGCCACTCTAACCGCAATACAGTGGAATCTCATTTACTTTGTAATTAACTATGTGGCGTGAGTAAACAGTGGACTCTTGAGAACTTTGAATTAAATTCTCTCAATCTTTGATATACAAATCTGCAATAAAGTCCACTTGTGCTAATGAAATGATAATACTCATTTAAAATAATAATTAGTGAGAAAGAAAATATGTCAGAAGCTGTCTTTCGAATAAAAGGTTAGTGTAATCTAGCATCATGAAGTTCCATTATTTGCTAAAATAAGCCATGAAAATGGAATGGATGAGTCATCAGATGGAAAACTTATTAATAAAAATTGCAAGATAAGCTTTGAATTCTTATTTATTAAAACTAGTGACTTAAATAAGAATCACTCTAATGGTCACCATGAAATGGCTGGTATCTGCATAGAACAAAATCTTAAATCTGAATTGAGTGCCGTTTATTCAAATGGAAATTAAAGCCTAGCCATTAAGTCTGTATTAGTGACTGGAAAACTACAGATGATATAAAAGATGAAGGAAGAGAACTAGTAAAAATTTTATGGCAAATCCTGTTCTCTTCTTTCCTGTTTTAAACAATGATTTGGAATTTATTTAAAATTTTAAATGTTGGCGAATCGACCAGTGTCGATATAGACTTTGCTTCAAGATATTTGAAGGAATTATGTGAAATAGTAAAAACGGCAGGCTACAGAGATGAGCAGTTGTGATAAAATGGATACATTCTGAAAATGCAAAATCGCCATTATGCTCTTTTATAACAGCCAAAGTCATTTTGGGTGTAAAAACCTCAAAAGACAATCTCACACTGTTATTAGTTAGGTGTGCAACAGAGGATTTCAAAATAAAATTCATGCTTGTATAGCATACAGAAAATCTGAGAGTTCTTAAAAATTTATTTAAAAAAAAAAAATCTTCTAGTGTTGTGGCATTCGAATAAGAAAGCATGGGTCATAAAAGCTTATATTTCACCAACTTTTAAATTTTTTATTTTTGCCCTCTAACAGAATATTATTGCAGGTAAAATTGATCATATTTTTGAAGTTTTGATGACTTTAAATAATGCCTAGCTTATCTGACTGGTCTTTGTGATTTGAATAAAAATGTACAAATAGCTTTTCTTCGGCAAATATGACACCATTATTTCAACTGATGGATCAGTGTCATTTCAATGTATTATGTTTTATTTATTTAAAAATGGGAGGAGCTGTTTTTAGAAGGGGACCTATTGCCTTAGTCACTTGGAAACAAGACCCTTCTTCCATTGCTTTATTTTTGTTTTAAAATTTGGTAGTCTTATAGATTCCCCCCCCTCCCCAAAAAGAAATAATGCTGTGCTAGGTGCAGTTACCATAGCACAATTTTTTTAGCAATTTTTTTCAGTTTATTGCATTCATTAGCTTCAACAGAGAAGTTCAGGTTACAGTGAGTATGCTCCTGCCCCCCTTTTTTAATAGCTGATTTAATAGAATGGCACACCACTGTGAATTTTTATTTCTTGCCTAATTTTCTAAAAATGCCAACACTGCTTACAAAAGAGTGCGAAGGGGAAAATTCAATTGTATAACTGGTTTTCTTCTTTCAAAAAAGAGAAAATGTCAGTTCATGACAGACTGTGTTCTGGACATCTATCTATCTGTTCATGAACTTAATAAACGGATGGAAATAGCAAAAAAAAATTGTGCACTTGAAGATCGGTGATGGATAATTGAAGAGCTGCAGAACTTATCTTGACTATCTTGTAGCTCAGTTCAGCAAAACAGATGATTTGAGAGTGAGAAAGGTTGCTTTAAAATTTGTATCTCGTATTCTAACAGACCTGAGAAAAGATCATGAAGTGAAAACATGTGGTGCTTTGGATGAGCAGTTCCAGGCAACCCAGACTTTCATATCAAAGTTATTACTGGTGACAGGATTTGGTGCTATTCTTACAACCCTGAAACCAAATATCAAGCAAGCCATTGGAAGATGCCATTGTTACCTTGCTCAAAAAAGAGTATGTCACATAAAGTCAAACTCTGAGACCATGTCTCTTTTTTTTTTTCGTTTTAATGCAAGGGGCAGGGATTGAGCATTCCGATTTTGTTACACCAAGGTCAGGCTTTTGATTTAGAGGTATTGAAAAGATTGCATAGTTGTAACTAGTATGCCTGAAAACAAATAGATAACAAACATACTAATAACGTTTCCTAATTTTTCTTTCCATACCATAGTAAAATATTTTTATTACTTTCATAGCTTGCCTTTCATTCTAATCAGAATTATGCTGTCAACTAATATTAGCTACATTTGTATTTTTTAAAACTTTTCCTAAAATATAAGGAGTGTATTTGATGGGGGTCATATTTTCAAGTAAATATTTTATTGTAGCTATCCAGTTAACCCATTAGTTTGATTTTAAACACTCCAAGATATTTATAAAACCGATCATGTGGGCTATGAAGGTTTCCTGTTTTAAGTTATATTGCATATCCTTTTTAATTTAAAGGAATTTATCTGTCAGTTAATGATAATCTATTTATTAAATTCCCGTATATTTCATCAAAGATTTATATAATAAATTTTGGAAATGATTTTCTGAGTGAGGATTTAATTGTATTAAATTTTTTTCCCTATTTCAGATGAAATTTGAGTTTTATATTGTTCCTTCTGATATTGCAATTTGAACTCTAAGGGAAACTTAACTTATTATACTTAATTATTTGAACGTGTTTAAGGATCAAGGAATATCCACTTAATTAAGATATGCTTATTGCAGAATTTTTATACATATGTTTGCTGAATGAATTTTTGTTGTAATTTTAGGTTTATAACTGACATAAACAAGAGAGGAAAAGCTTTGTTACAAGATTTAAATAAAGTTTGTACCGACAAAAAAAATCAATTGAATTTAAAAAATCAAGAATTGAGATCTGTAGCTGAGAGACTGAAACACTGCCAGAAATTTGCTGAAGCTGCCATCTCACTTGGTAGTGAAACTGCTCTTGTATATAGCAAAAAACCCATAATGAATCAGGTATCACAGTATTGAAAACTTTATTTTTCACTATTTTTTTAAAAACTACTTAAGATTATATACTGGTGTTCAAACTGCTCTTTATATACGTAAAAATAATATTTCATTAAGTAATTTGAGTTTTAATTTTTTTAATGAAATAAGCAAAAACTTAGGTGGTGGGGGGGAAAGAAAGAAAGAGGGAGAGGGTCCCCCCGGTGCATGAAAATAATACTATTTCTTGAAGCAATTAAATCAGTCTAATTAATTTTTTATGGACATGGAACGCACTTTTAATAATTTGCCATGCATCACAAAAAAGGCGATTGAAGCAGTATTTACTGTAAGCAAAGACTGACTAATTTCTGATTTGCAAGTTAAAAAATGGAGTTATCACTTTTATCGATCTATGGCAATTTAATAAAATTTTAGTAGAAATGCATTTCTTTCAACACTAGTTTAAATGGGAGTATTTTTTAGATAAAACATTTTTGTTGTACAGTCTGTTGCACATATACCAGGTTATCAAAAAGTCAGTATAAATTTGAAAACTTAATAAATCACGGAATAATGTAGATAGAGAGGTAAAAATTGACACACATACTTAGAATGACATGGGGTTTTATTAGAAAAGCAATAATCTGATCAGAAAAGCAATAATTAGCATAACAAATTAAGACAAAGCAAAGATGATGTGTTTTACAGGAAATGCTCAATATGTTCACCATCATTCCTCAACAATAGCTGTAGTCGAGGAATAATGTTGTGAACACCACTGTAAAGCATGTTCGGAGTTATGGTGAGGCATTGACGTCGAATGTTGTCTTTCAGCATCTCTAGAGATGTCGGTCGATCACGATACACTTGCGACTTCAGGTAACCCCAAAGCCAATAATCGCACGGACTGAGGTCTGGAGACCTGGGAGGCCAAGCATGGCGAAAGTGGCGGCTGAGCACATGATCAGCACCAAACGACGTGCGCAAGAGATCTTTCACGCGTCTAGCAATATGGGGTGGAGCGCCATCCTGCATAAAAATCGTACGTTCCAGCAGGTGTTTATCAGCCAAGCTGGGAAGATGCGATTCTGTAACATATCGACGTACCTCTCACCTATCACGTTAGCAGTTACAAAACCAGAATCACGCATTTCCTCGGAGAAAAAAGGCCCGATAACAGTAGATGTGGTAAATCCAACCCATACCGTGACTTTCTCGTCGTGAAATGGAGTTTCCACAACAGTTCTAGGATTTTCGGTAGCCCAAATTCTGCAGTTGTGGGCGTTGGCAGACCCTCAGAGCATGAAATGAGCTTCAGCGGTCCACAACACGTTACTCAACCAATCGTCATCTTCCGCAATGCCCACACCGCCATCTTCTTCACTAAATCTCCAGGTAACAGTTCATGATGCTGATGGATTTTGTAAGGATAGCATCGGAGGGTACACCTAAGTGCCAACCAAATAGTAGTGTATGGAATGCCGGTGCAACGTGTGACTGCATGAGCGCTGACTTCCCCGTGCATAGACGAACCCGCTACAGTCTCCATTTCTTCCTGAACTTTCTCAGCAGCATTACGCCTTGTGCTCGGTGGGCCACTACGGGGTCTATCTTGTAAACAACCCGTGGCCTCGAACTTCGAAATCATTCTCACCACACCTGCATTTGTCAATGGACCTTTACCCGTTCGTATCCCCTTCCTATGGTGATAGGATCGTAACGCTGAACTAGCACATTCCCCATTCTGATAATACAGCTTCACTAAAAGCGCTTTTTCAGGTAACGTCAACATGCTGCGACTGCTGGTGCATCTGATTCTCTCTCTCATTACAGCTCCTTTTATACACGATTTTCATGTGCAATCACTGACGTTTTGCTGTCCAGCGCCACCTGTCGGACATTTTTTAACTTTTTTTTTTTTTTTTTTTTTTTTTTTTTTTTTTTTGGTTCTAATAAAACCCCATGTCATTCTAAGTATGTGTGTCAATTTTTACCTTTCTATCTACATTATTCTGTGATTTATTAAGTTTTCAAATTCATACTGACTTTTTGATCACCTGGTATACACCAGACATCAACAGTATTTTCACAGGAGAGGGGAAAATGTTTCATTCACATCTTTGTTTCATCAAGGAGAGGAAAAAGAGAACATGTTTATGGGAGGTCTTTAAAGTACTTTCTCAAGGCAAAACAAGCTACTACAAAAAATTTGAAAACAACTGAACATTATTGTTATCTAGTACTATATAGTGTATTTTGATCAATTTTGTTTCTAAAATGCCAGTAATGGCTTGACATCATTTGGAAGTATGGCATGAGTTTTGCACATAGTGTATTTGCTATTGAACTTCGGAAATCTAGAATTTGATTTCAGTATTTATTGAGTTCTTTATAATGCTTGAAGTGTCTTAAAATAAAATAAAATAAAAAATTCTGAAGTGGAGAGATATCTGCCATTCAGAAGCAGATAATTATTTATGGAAGTGATTAGATGACTGAATATTTCAAAACAGGCAATGATTAAGAAACCGACACCAGGTCATAGGGGGGAAAAAATGCTTCTTAAGATCAGTTTCTATCTATAATTATTTATTGCAGCTGAAACTTGGAATAGATTCTGAGTTTGTAACTGCCACTGGAACTTCTGTCTCAGAAAACTGCGTAAGAAAGACTGTTATGTCAGAAAGAAAGTGCATTATATTTCATTGATCTTTACTATTGGGTATGGCATAAATGGACTGTTAAAAGCATCAGATAACATTTGATTCTAAATGTATTGACATCTTGAGTAAGCAGGAACATGAAACAGTAAAGAATACAACCATTATAAAAATGCAGAATGAATATTGGGGAAATAATAATAATCTGTGTACCCCCATTTGAATATAATAGAGGGCTGGTGCCTTTCCAGAAGTACCAAGATAAAAATCTTACAATCTTAATTTTAGAAGGAGGGGAAGAATTCTGAAATGTGCATGGGAATCTGGCTTTCTTTTCATGTATGATAATCTACACTGCTCAAAATGATCAGGGGATATTAAGATTTTGGATATAAACAGCAGATGAGGAAATGTTTTATTCACTCATGTGTAGGTTTGTAGATATGAGAAAATAAAAAGAGCAACAAATAATTGCTAATTAAATTTTGTTGAGAAGATTTGTCAGTGAACAAAAAATGCACAATTTGTGCGTACATGCAACAGGGTTGCCTTTCAAACTGGAGAATGAAATTCCCTGACATTTCCAGGTGTGTTTCAAGAAATTTCCAGGCTATTCGCATAGTGCGCATTGGCTGTGCTAAGGGTAAATTAACTATGGTACCATTTGAAAACACAAACATTTGCCAATTACGTAAACACCAAAGCATTACTTTCACAACTCTAATGGGAGTTGTTTTCTCCACTGAGGACTGAGGTTAGAATCTGCCTAATCAGGAATTTAAAAATTGCTTTTCTGCAGACATTTTGTTGCTAAGGGAAGAAAGAAACCTAATTAATGATATTTTAAAATAAATTCAAGTATGTTATATTTATTTAGCAGCATACATAAGTAAAAAATATGTGCACTAAATTTTTTGATGGTATGTCATATTACGGCTAGGGTTAGTTTCACAAGTATGCCAGAGAAAATTGCCCAAAATTTGAAATTATTATTAACTAATAATATATAAATTTGGAAGGAAGAAGACACATTAAATGATATGAATAACATTAAAACAAAGTTAATTACTTTATGATTAAAAACTGAATTACAAAAATCGACGGTATTTTGGCGTGTTGCATGTGTACAGGTTTGTAATAGATTAAATGCACAAGTCCGACAGTATGTTAATAAAATTTATTTTTATAAAATATATATATTAGAATGCTGGAAATTTCCTCATAGATATTTGTACAAGTGTTTACAATATCACACAGTATAATCAATAGTTATAATTCAAACTACTAAAAACATAACGCAGCACAAAGCGTATCTAAAAGGAAAGCTAATCTCAGTTCACGCAGAACTAAGTAACTTGCAACATTGCATTTATTCAAATTTCATTACAAATTACCGAGATATCCATTTACTGAAAGCTAAATGCACATGCCCCTGTATTCTTAGTCTTCAAGCATAGCTTTCTCTTAAAATTTATCTTGCACTGCATTGCATGGGGAAATGCAACAATTTTAATTATAATTCTACTAAAGTTAACTATTTAAATACAAAATTCACAACAATAGATATATTCAATGGTTAGCCTAAATGACTGATTGTTATTTTTTTATTTTACTGCAAAATGACCAATAAGGCATTCAAGAAAGAAGAAAAGGTTTAAAAGATTTTGTTTTATAGGAGAACAAGGGAATTTACCTTCATTCAACTTGCACTGCACATGTGCATGTGAATTTCTGGATTTTCGAGGATGCTGGAAACCAAAGATGCTACAAACTTGCTTTGCCTTCTTAAAAGACAATGTGATCAGCGCTGCAAAAGTTGGCTCTACACCAGCTGTCCGAATGATGCCTCATACGGTACAGGATTTGCTAAGAAAGTGATTGCTTCTCACGTAGGCGCGAAAATTGCTTTTTTATGGATCACAGTATGAAATTCAGTGACTTTTCAAGATTTTGACTAAAATATTTAAATTCTCCGATTTTTTGGTCAATTTTCAAATTTGCTGACTTTTCTAGGTAGCGTGGCAACTTTGAAGCAAACAAAAAATATGATTTCTTGGATACATATGAGTTTTATTAAGGTGTATGGCCCATATCTGGGGAACATGCTGTCCAGTCCATTTGAAAGATTCGTTTCTGGAAAAGGAAATCATCCAATAAGTGAGCACGATGTGGCCCAGCATTTTCATCCATTAGAATTAATTCATCTCCTGTTTCCTGCAGCGTAAAGAACTGAGGATCTCATCCATATATCGCTGAACTGTTAGTGCTGCATTCCTGATAATAAGTAGGTAGGTGTGGTCATTGATAGAAATATGGGCTCAGACCATCACTCTGCCTCTACTAAATTGCACATAATCATGCTCA